ACCTGGATTAGACGGGTTTGCTTGTTCTTTTTTTTTAACTTTACGGAGGATCGCGTCTCTTTTTGTCCTCTCGCAGCTCGTGTAAACATCCGGTGAGGTGCGGGAGCCCGCTCGGCTGTAACGCGATCGCGTGGTTCGCGTGTCTCGGGTCCGGGCTGTGCTGCCCGGGGAGTCGGAGCTGCTCACACCTCCCGGGCTCTAAACCCGCTCCCGGCGTCTGCAAGTGCTGTTGTGGCGTGTGGCTCTGCCTCCCGGTTTAACCCGAGCGAAGCTGTGAGCACAGTCCCCACAGGCAGTTGCCCCTGCCCTGCAGCAGCTTCCAGGCTCCTCAGCTGTTTGTACCGAGGAGTTCAATTGTTCACGACCTGCTTGGGTTCAAATGAGTGATCCACCGAAAATCCCGTGGTCTTTTGTGACATGGAGGGGACAGTTAGAGCTGTTTTAACGCTGGCAGAGGTTCTGTGCAGTCAGTTACACAACTGGGAGGCAGTGTGGGGGTCTATCCTGGTGATACTGCACTGATTCCAAGTGTACATGGTTCCTGTGTTATTTTTAGTGCTGATACTGTTGTAATACACCCCTGTGTGGCAGCGACAGGAGGGGAGGGAGGTGGGGGGCTTGATGTCTTGACTTCTTTGCTGCTTCTCCTTCCCAAGCCTGCCTGCTGGGCTTGTTGGAAGAAAGGGCCTGTGGGTCCTGGGCTGCAGGAGGGTGAACAAGGGGATTGTGCTGGTGTGGTGGGTGAAAATAAGGAATTGGAGGAGATGGTCACAGTCAAGGGTCCTACTGTGACTCATACAGTCAGTTGAAGAATTTCTTAGAGAATTCCTAGCCCCACTGTCCCACAGCGTGGGCTCGGTAAGAGCGTGAATGAGGGAGAAAAAGCAGCTCGGGTCTCCATCCCACGCCCCTGAAGGCTTGGTAACTTTGTAAAGCTTCTGTTGTGAGGCTTGATGATGTTACAGAATTTCCTTCCATGAAGGCATTGACCATTGCTGTGTCACACGTGCCCAGGGGTTTATGTTTCTGTAACTGCAGGTTGACAGCTTTTCCACTGGGCAGAGGTATCATTTACCTAGCTTACCTGGATAACAACGAGCTGTTGCAAAACTGTTCTTTGTTGCTTTCTCTACATGTTCAGCACTTTTTGGGGTAGCTTCAAAGAGTCTTCATCTTTTCCCACAAACAATGGAAGTCAGTGGATTTCTACAAAGGGAGTTGTTCTTGCAGTTCAGGTGTTCTCATGGTGTGCTTGCAATGGTGCTCTAGAGCCAGACCAAAATATCATAGGATCCTAGAATGGCAGAGGTTGGAAGGGACCCTTGTGGATCAGTGAGTCCAACCCCCCTGCCGGGGCAGGATCACCCAGGGCAGGTCACCCAGGAGCACGGCTGGGTGGGCTTTGAAAGTGTCCAGAGGAGGAGCCTCCACAGCCTCCCTGGGCAGCCGGTTCCCGTGCAGTGGCACCTGTGACCCAGCAGCCCCTCCGGTGTCAGCACCGCTGCGAGCGTCTGCGTGGGGGTCAGTTTATCACCGGTGTCGAGAGGCTCGGGTTCAGAGCTGCCTTCCTTCTCAGGCTCCCCTCTCCCCGCAGGCACTACCGGAAGCGCTCTGCCTCCCGCGGCCGCTCCGGCAGCCGCTCCCCGAGCCGCTCTCCC